GGCTCTTTAATAGGCCTAGGAAACGGAGAGGAAGTGACATCCTTTTCTCCTCCTGGGAGCACAGATCTAAAGCCCAGTGTTTCCTTCCTTTCCTCCCTGGGAAGAAAGCTGAATCCCTTACAGACTGTCAAAGGGCGTACAGGATGCCAAAACCCAGCCTCCTGGGGACCTCTGTGCCCACCTTTCTTCCCTTGCCCTGTCCTCCACCAGATCTGGGAAATTTGATGTCTTCTCTCATAGGCCCAATGATGTTTTTAAGTTAATTGGAGTGACTTCAGCCACTAGTTGGGGGTGGGGGTAGGGGAGGGTGCATAAAGAAAGCCAGTGAATGCCTTGTTGGTTTATTTTGGGGGGAAGAGGTCACTGGTCCCCCAAGTCACACACATTGATTTATAAATTCTATGAGTTAGTAAAAAAAAAAAAAAAAGGTGTCCTACATGGGCCTTACTGGCCAAGGGAAACAGTGACACGCTAACATTTTATAAATGCCAACTAAGGGTACCCACACATATTGTGGTCGCTTTTTCTTCCACCCCCTTCCCACTCTTCCAGACAGGGCCAGCAGCCTGCACAAACTGGACCCCTGCTGATGACTTCAGCCAGCTAGGTGGTGAGGTGGGAAAGTAGGCCCAGGAAATGGACTGGGGGGAGTTTGCACCATCTGCAAAGAAAAAGATCAGCAGCTGCAACAAAACACTCACCAAATCTGCTTTCTGCCATATACAATAATATATATATATATATACTTTTCCTCAATTCTGACTAATAAAATACATCAGTGGCTGTTTTATGACATTATAGCTGTCATAATAGGCGAGTTAGTTTACATATTATCTTATGACAGAATAATTAGGACCCCTATAAACAGAAAGCAGTTTCTTAATATGTTTTATTTCTCTGCCAGTTTGACTATATTGAGCCCAGCAAAGCGACTGGTACCCAGGGTGCTTACTTATTGTTCAGAGAGGTTGAGCTGGATGAGAGGGCCCTGAGAATTATCACATCTAATGAATAACTTATCTGATGATTTCCCTTTCTTTATGGCTAAATATAAGTGGTAAAATGGGCAATTTCTGGTGGTTGGTTTTTTTCTGAACCAAAGGAAAACCAGGTGCTTAATGTCTATTCGGAGCCTATGGTAGAAAACGTGTGACTAATAGAAGAGTGAGTTCTTCACACTTCCTCTGACATCTTTCTCTTACCCACATTTCCAAATCTGATTGAGTCATGGGTGTATGGGATGAAATCTTGACTTGAAAAAATGTGATGAGGGCCTGTTGGAAGAAGCAGTGGTGAGGAGAGGCCAGTTCAAGCCTTTATTTTTCAAACAGGGCCTTAAAAACCCTCCCTGGTTTGAAGTTAAAGGATTACTTATTCTGCTTTGCAGTTGTTGGGGTGAAATGAAAGACTAGTCATTTAAAAGAAAGAACACTGCCTGTGGTGTCAGCTCTTCTCCTTCTCCCTTTAGACCTCTAGGATTTCCCTATTAGTCATTCTTCCTTGCCAATCTCTGCCTATTGCTCTTGTGCCTTTCTGTGTTTTCCAGCTAGACCGTGAGCTTGCTGGGACTGAGTTCTATTTATCTGCATATCTTTGGTGCCTACACAGGCCTGGCACCTGGTATCTCTCTGACAAATGCATGAAGAGGTGTTACAAGCCAAGCCTGCAACCCTTACTTTTGCCAACTTAAATGGACTCCTTGGGTTTCAGGTCAAAT